TAACAAGTAACACTGAAGGATAACAGGGGCCTTTGACAACTCCTCTCTCACCATGTAACTAAATATTGAGAGTACTCTTTGGCATACAAACACCCATATGCTTCATTACCATAATTTTGCTTTTCAGTCAACATTCTAAATTACTCTCTTGGTTTTTTTCCTTTCATCCAATGGATGAAAGGCGAACATCCACACTGTAAAAGTCAATAATGTTGGGTTCACAATCTCCAAGTAGGCTTAAGATACAAACCACATACAATTTACACATATCTAAACTACACTACTGCACTTAAGTAATTAAATCATGGTAATTACCCACTTTGTTTCAGAAATATAACAAAAGAGAAGACAAGAGTCTTTAAAACATAAAAGCCTTTGCAGTTTACCTGTTTGTTAAAAACAAGCCAGATACTTTAAATATATTTTAAAATCCAGATCCTGATAGATAATTACAGTTTCTTTTTCTTGAGATCCCAGAGTGACAATTAATGAATCTCTTGTGCAAAACTGAACATGAAGCTCTCAATTCAAATTATCTGTCTTTCAAGAGTATTTATTATGCCTAGAGTCAGCTGCTGGCACAGGAATGCACATGATACTGCAAATCTCAGTCAAACAGGCATTAATGGGCTTTTAATAAAGCCTAGGACTGTGAGTAGCCTATTTATTCCAAATAATTTCTATGACAACATACAGTCCTGAAAAATTATGGTTTTGATTCATAACCATACTTCTATTTATATGTTTCACCCTCCTCTAGCATCACAAAAAAAGCTTCCAGCAGCCATCAGTATGACTGTCAATCAATAAAAACTGCAACCGTATCCAAAAAACCAAACCAACACAAGTGTTAAGAAATTACAAAACCCTGAGAAAAATCAGTAATTCATCAGTACAGAAGTTCAGCCAGCCAGCATCCTAGCTCTAAACAGGTTGATCAAAATCACTCATCTTGAAAAGAAAGTGGGCTGAGGATCCTACCACACAGCACAGTTTAACACGCACACCCTGACCATGGGGGTGCCACTGGCTTTGATACCACACATATCTTTAGTTCACCTAAACCAAACTGTGCAACTTTCTTTCACTGAGCCTTCTCTACCATATCATCATATCCAGACATTCCTTTTTTTATGTAAAACTATATTTATATTAGACACATAAAATTATTTTTGCTACAACTCAAGGCTGAGACCTGCTCTGAAGGAGAAGTTTAAATTTGTGCAAAACATTCTTATCACATATTGTTTTAAGGCATTGCAAATCACCACCCTGACAAATCACCCTACAATTTCATGAAATGGGATGTTGCCATAACAATTTTATTTTAGGAAACAGAATTGAGTAAAATACTTTGAAGAGTAAGTTACAGTAACTGACTTCAAGTTGCTAAACAACTGAGAAAAAGAAACATCAAAGACCTACCTGGTGAATGTTAAAGTCACCTTTATCACAGCACAGTTAGCTGTGTCAGGGGTGTTTACCTATGTCAGCTTCGTTTACATTAAGACTAGAAACACTGATCCAAGTCTTTTCCTGCAAGCTGCAAAAACAAGGCCAGCTGTCTCCAAAGCCACAAATAGTTCTATGAAGTGAAGCCGAAAGCTTTCTTGCTCAGCAACTGCTCAGATCTGTGCCATTATGGGAGGCCATGTGCTCTCAGAGTTCCCAGAGAACTCTGGGAAAGACTGAATTTTTCTGCTTCCATTTACTGCCAGTTCCACTAATCTGTTTTCAGGTAAGTTTACAATGAGATTAAAATAATAAACTCATCCAAATAAACTCCCTCTTCACAAACAAATTACTCTTCTCTATTTTCTTATTTTCTCACCCCATTGTCAGCTGCCCATATCAGCTGACAGAGATTTCCTGAAGGGCTGTTTGCTTCTTATGACTTCCGATGCAATGGGAGTAGAGATTGCATCATATCAACAATACCACCTTAAAATGGTAGGCTAAAACCACGACTAGTACAAAGTTAAAAACACAGATGTTTCTACATCTGCCTAACAAAGAGACATAAACCACCAGCTAACTAAGCCCCAAAAGTATGTGTATATTGGTGCTGGAGTAAGCAGCAATGTACTTCACCCCTCCTGACAAATGCATTTCCTGATAAACCACACCTCACACACATCAGAAATCCAAGGGTTTTCAAACAGCACCATGAATCATCTGGAGCAGACACAAACTCTGGGGGACTGCACCTTCCAGCACAAAAGCAGACGATGAGCTGCAAACCTAATTCAACTTTGACTAGCTTATTCTGTCTATGGCTAAATACCTTCTTGCTCACATAGCTTGTACTGCCACCAGAGCTGTGCAAGTATTCCCAAAGGAGTCTGCAACAGACATATGAAACCCTTTCCCTTACATACACAAAAGGCTCTCAGTTCTACCAGGAAAACAACTTCTCTTGACTTGTAAACAAACTTGTATCATAATTCATATTAATTCCCACCTAACTATGCTTATGTCCTCCTGCTGCTTTCTTTCTCAAGAGGAGTAGATCAAAGAAATAAAATAGTTCAGCTCAATGCTGAGTCTGATACACAGACTGAGAATAACTGTATGTACAAGTGCCTGATACAAACCAATAATGTATCCTCTACATGAAAACCAAAGCAAAGGGCACACTCAAAGTGCTTATTTTGATAATCAACAGGTCAGGTGGATGAAGGAATGGATTTTGAAGTTCCACAGCTAGTTAATAAGATAGCTCTAGAAGTCTTTAAACCTTCTCCTCTGTCTTAAAAGCATAACCTTTGCTCACAGTATTAAAATACAGTTTATTTTTGTTAGCATCTACAGATCAAGAGTTCACCTCTCTCCCAATAATTCCGGCCTAGCTGCCTAGGCTTTGTTTCACACTGGGGACTGGCCTCAGGACACCTCACCTAGACTCCCTGAGGTGATGCTAAACATTTCAAGGAGGCACCTAACACATGCCAGCTAGGACTGGCCCTTCAGTCCAGATGACCAAACTAATTAATCTCTAAAACACACACAATGTGAACATGAAGTCCTCAGCACCCGCTGCCTGCCCCTACAGATGTGCTTCGACTGTGTCACAGCACCTGCTACAGCAGACACAGCCACAAAAATCAAGGCTAAATTTTAACTTTTCCCTGCACTGTTTGAGTGAAACAGGGAAAACATAATCTTGTTTGAAGAAGGGAATGAATCAAGTGCTGTGTTGTAAGAGAGGCTTAGATATGCGAACAGGCACAAGAAGTCTTGTCATTTGGATCCTGATGAGGCTCCTTGCCATGAGGCTGGCGTGCCAGGGAAAGATAAGCAGGCATATAACACTGTGCTGGGTCTGGCTGAGGTGGTAAATTCTCCCCACAGCAGCCCCCACAGGGCTGTGCTTTGCACTGGTAGCTAGAAACACCATGTAACATAAAACATACCGGTTTTCACTACTGCTCAGCAACACTTCCACAGAACCTAAGCTGCTCCTCCAACATTATCCTCTCACCTGCAGGCAGTGGGTAGACCAGATCTTGGGAGGGGACACAGCCAGGACAGCTGACCCCAAGTGACCAAGGGAATATTCCATACCATCTGCCCAGCAATAAAAACCAGGAGAAAGGAAGAGGAGGCAGGGAGAATTCAATACTATGATGTTTGTGTTCCAGAGCAATCACTAACACATACTGAAGCCCTACTTCCCAGGAAATGATGGACATCATCCCCTGATGGGACATAGCGGATACATATTTTATTTTCCTTTGCTCCCATGCATGGCCTTTGCTTTTGCTTTATTAAACTGCCCTTATCTTGACACGTGGTTTTTCATCTTAGTTTCTCCCTCCTTACCCTGCTGAGTAGGGAGTAATAGAGCAGCTTGGTAGACACTGGCTGTCCAGTCAAGGTCAAATACCTTAAATAAAAGGATGCATCCCCACACAAAGTTTAAATTGAACCCAAGATAAAATTTCTTACTTCAGACAAAACTTGACTGCAATACAGACACTTTCAACTGATGTATCACAGTGCAGAATTACAAGATGACCAACTTGGTTGATGAAGAAAGGACACAAATTTTAATTCTCCTGCCTGGTACTTGAATTTATTAATTAAAATTACTTTTACCTTCTCAGAAGGGTGTTTCTTATTCAAGTAAATAAACACATTTGGGTTTATTTCTAGACATTTTCACAATGCTTATTTATTACCATTATTTTACATGTAAAATAAATATTATCTAAATTAGTCTACTTACAAAAACACAGGAATGGTTCTCAAGTTTATTTTTTTAACTTGAGCAAATAGCAAGGACAAACCCATGCCCTAAGTTAGTAGATAAACATTTCAGGTAAATATAGTCTTGGCTGGAAAGAAAAACAGCTAGCTGAGGAAAGCAGCACAAAACCAGGTGGCTTTTTTAAGAACAGTGAAACAGCGACAGTCCATCAAACCTCCCTGCTTTCATTTCTAAACAGCAGTAATCCAACAAATCTAGTTAAAAGTGCTAAATAACTGAAGTCTTACTATCCTCCACCACCAAAACTGAAAGATTCCCATCTAGAAAGAAAAGCAGTACCATATATTTTTCCTTGTCTTTTAAAAAGTACCATATTATCAAAGACCACACAGACACAGGATTAGGGGCCAAAGGGTGAAAGGAAACACCCAGCACACAGAAAGACCAGCGCATATATGGACTGCCAGCCTAACACCTGTGTCCAAATATGCCTAGCCTCTATGCTTCTGCCCAGTCTGAACTGAAACATTTTAGGCAAGCTGAGGTTTTACTTCTATTGTACTTTTTTCTTCAGCATTCTCGTACATGGCAGGATCATCTAAAGAAGGCTCAGCAATACGAAAATTCCCAAATTCCCCAATTCTCTTGAAGGAGTGTCTAACTTGCTACTGCTTTATGATACGAAAACAACTGCACCTCTAGTCTGCTAGTCACAAGGAAAATAAACTGGTGATAAGGTTCAAGGTCATGGAAATTCACTGTAGCACATGCACCAAATCAAAGTGCTCACCTGCTGGTTTCCCAGTCTTGGTCATCCTTATCTTTTTCTTCTTTGGCATCTGAATTGTGTGGGTGTTTCTGCACAATCCGCATCCCGCCAGCTTTCACTGGAATGGAAATTAAATAGATAACAACAAACCTCAGTCAAATCAGCGTCAAGTGAAGAATGTAAGTGAAGACCCACCCTGCTTCCTCCTGATACTTTGCATAGTAATTTAATAGTAACCACAGTGTGAAAAAGAGGCACAAAGTGTTAAAAAATGGCAAGCCTAAAGAACAGATACTTCAGGACCACATCTGCCATTCTCCTTCACATGAGAAGGTGCTTATCCTGAGAAGCTGCAGCTCATTTTACCACCTGCTTCCAATGACATTTTAGAAAACTCAATTCTGTTTTAATTCCCCCTCCACCCCATACTAACTTGCAGCAGTCACAAGAAACTGAGGCAATTACTTGCAAAACACTACATGAAAGGCTAAAACCAACAAAACTGATTTGTCATTTCATGTTAAAAACTATGTCTATAATAAGTGTATTTACACAAAGAAGTACTTCACAAATAGTGTAATAAAAATTAAAATTTAGGAAAACTGTTAACTTGCTTTTAGAACAGAGTTTTTTGGTTTGCAAAACATATGAGCTTCTACAACATTTTCAATCCTTGCATCATTTAAGTTTTAGAAATGATGCAGACATGAAAGCAGCCCTTTGAAACACAAAACAAGAAGTGAAAGCAAATCCACTTATGTGCATCACTTATCCACTCCAAAGTGCAATCTAAAACAGGAACCAAGCCAGGCTTGGCACTGCAACTACTAAGCAGAGCAACAGACAGGTTGCTCTTGATCTGCTTTCTGGTTCAATAGTGTACTTTTCTTTTTCTTCAACAATTCAACATGCTTACAGGACAGCACAGGATAAGACGATGCATCTCGTTAGCTTAATTGGATAGGTTACACTACCATCAGCAACCACATCAAAAAACCACTACAGTGGCCAGAAGTCAATAAAACCACTTAGAGACACGCTGGTTCGTGTTTCACAGTGCCTTGCCACAGTGTCTGTGGTGAGGCTCGCAGAGGTGTCACAGCTGGAGCGAGCAGGATGCCAGAGCAGCACTCGGAGAAGCTGAAGCTGGCAGGGACAGGGCGGCTGCGCTTCTGACAGCCCTCCTCTGTCCTGCCACAGAGGGAGCAGGGCCTCTCACAGCTCTTCAGTGCTACCCCAGAAACCTAGATGCAGGTCTAATTCCCAATTCTTAACCAGGACAGCAATGGAAAGGCCACTGCTGTGCATAAATTTTACAGCCTGGGTGAAGGAAAGCAGGAAAGAGAAAATTACGTGCTCCAGGAGAAAGTGAAAGCTCTTCGGCCCTGTCTTTTAAAAACAGATTTTAAGTTCTGAGTGATATTTGAATTATAAACTTCTAATTCAATAAAGGTCATTAACTATAGACAAACTCAAAGAAATATCTTTTAAAACCTATCAAAATTGTGTCCTCTTATCATGCACTAAAAACCCCAATCCCAAATCACTAACCATTTTGTGTTCCCTGTCCAGCAGAAAACTTTAATTGGAGAAATGTTTCACATGGGACAAGGAAAGAAAGACTACATTTCTTTGTAGAAAATTACATTTCTTTGTTGCCTGAAGTGAAGCAAAAATTAAAATTCCAATTAATTTTTCTTGATTCAAGCTCCTTAGAAATTTAAGTTTGTTTGCAAAAGCAAACACTGAGTTTTGTCAAGTGCAGCCTTCTTTTAACATCTCAGTTAATCAAAGTACTGCTAAGCTTTATTTACATTTATTTATAAATTATTAATTTATTTTAATTAATTTCTAAATTTAACATCACTGCACAGTCAGGACCTTTTACTTATTTGTTTCAAATGACTTTTCATGGAAGATGCTGTCTCCACAGCAACATTTGCCAGGGTTAAAAACAACAATTCTGAACTATACATACACTTCCACGTCCTTCAACATCTAACAGAAAACTAGAGAAAATGATACCTGAAGATTTAGTGCTAATTTAGATCTAAAATGTCTCTCCCCTCACACTGTGCATCATCAGGCCACAAGCCACTCTGTTTCTCTTTATCTGCCACTGGAAAAAATACACAGCTAACACATTCAGATTTGCCTGTATGCAGAATTAGAAAGCAGGGATTAAAAAGCAAATAACCAGACAACTAAATGACATAATAGTGACTCATGCAGCAACTTAGAATTTTAAATGTGATTTTTTGAACTAATATTGTCAGGCATAGTATATACAGCTTAAAGTACTTTGGTGCATTATTGAATTATATTTAGCAATCCAAGGTTACTGTGCAGAAGGAACCAGCAAACAGCTGCAATAATCATGTGTATTTGTGAGACCAGAAGTGAAATAATTAGATAGCATTCTGTACATATCTGCCACCCATGACACAGCATGTTTATACCCAATCCAGCTTCAGAAGATTTAGCTTAAGATGATAAATACTCTTACAGCATAATTCACCTTCCTTTTCAAAAGGTATCAGCCAAGCTACATTACCTCAGGTGTGACAAAAGAAGAACTGATTACATCCACGAAGCGAATGAAAAACTCAACACTTGTGAGATTTTTCTCAGGAGTTATGAGGAATCATCTATTTCCTACTTAGCTGGCATTTACTACATAATTTGACTGATGCTTACCATGGTGATTTTTTCACTTATAAATCATACTTAAAAGAGCTCAGATTTCCTTATCCTGCAAACAAAGGATTTAAACAACTGATAAACCACCTTCCAGAACATTGTCAGGCAGCAGTGTCCAGAAGTGGATTGTGTCAACGACCATGTTGGGATTAGGAAGAAAACAGCTCCTGTGCTGAAGAGCAAATGCAGAGCTCAGGTGCTAAGGCAGGAGAGGACAGGAAATGGATCCCTGGAGTGGTGACAGCCAAGTGGCCCTAAGCCTTTCCTAAAGCATGAAATAAAGAAGGGATCATTTGCCAGCACACTCAGAAGAGCAAGTCTATCTGCTTCACTACTAAATACAAGTTTTGGATTTTAATTATCATATGTCATGTTTTCCCCTTCTTGAGAGGCAGACAGGACTACCTTGTCAGACCTGTGAATGCCAGCCTGTGTTCCTCATCAGGGTATGACTACTCCTGGAAATGTATTAAATAACTGTGTTAATCAATTACCACTCAAGCTGATTTGGAGTGAGGAAGCATTCTACTTTTTCCTCCCTACCCCCACTGCTGGACTCCTCTCTGTTTCTGAGACTGGATTCTGAAATAATCCCCACTGAGTTGGAGCGAGTACCAAGTGCCTAGAGAAGCACAACAGGTCAGGGACAGGGCTGGCCCCAGCTCGCTCAGGGGGCAGACCTGAGGCAGTCCTTCCCAGGGAAACCTTCCAGCTCAGCACAAACCACCCACTGGTCACTGCAACCAGACAGGAACTTCAACAAATCCAGAGTACACCAAGGGTCTTAGCAGCTTTCCTTTTCCTTGAGCATGCATTCAATGTTACCATAAACATTTATTTCTTATGTAGTGTGTAATAACAGATTCCATTACAATGATAAGATGTATGAAAAGGGAAACACAAAATACACTGCTTTACAAGATTAAGGGAGTATATGTTAATGTTCAACAAAGTAAGAAAAGAAGTTATTATATGCCTTCATTTCACAGAAATCTCAACTCAGAGCTATTTTTTTTAATATACAAAAAAGCATGTAACTATTTTCACAAATCATAAAACTTCATAAATACACTATTAACACAATCACCTTCCACAGTATATATCAGATGAACAGCTAAAGGATAATTACACAGATCTCTTCAGAGGAACTGTACAAACCTACTCAGCAATGTATTATGGGCACACTTGATCTCACAGACAAGCGGATATTTAATAAAGATTAAGTCAGGGCCCTCTTAAATTTCAGAGGGGAGGTCAAAGTCGCTTCCTGCACTGAGGTCTTGAGGTTTCTTTCCATTTCATTACCCTTTGTCTTTTCAAGTGCCTTTTCCTTTCCCCCTATGTGAAAGATCAATGCAGAGATGAATACAGTGCAATCAGTAAGCAAGGGCCAACGGTGCACTTGAAAAACAACAGATTTGTCAATTTTGCTTTGAATTTCATGACCCAAATCCTTCTAAACTTACATGTCCAACGTACTCAGTAGGGTAAGACACATCTGTAATTACAGGCAGTGCTCTTTATGGAACTGGATGCAGAAAAAAAATTTTTTAGGGATGCCCCTAAAAACCTGGGCTTTTAGGCCATTTATCAAAAGAGATTCCCTAGTTACACTTTTTCTTGGATAGAAATTTGCCTTGTTATTTATGAATAAAATTCCACCTGTATTAATTTTTAAAAAGAATTTCTTACTTTCATTTTTATTAAAACATGTTTGCAGACTGATCTATTGCTTTATTCTAATATTCAGGGATCTAAACAAGCTTGAGATTTAGAATTAAAACCTATCTTCAACCACTAGACTAAATATATACTCTTGCTAGTCATAACACTTCTTGTGGGTTTTCCAGGTGGTAAAAGCCCAAAGGGCCAAACAGTTTAGAAAAGTCTTCTTCCCAAAGGGACTTGAAGATATGGTAAAGCATTGGGGGTTTTTTTGTCTCAAAGACAGGCTGAGTGATTACCCTCCTTCCAAAGATAAACTGTGTGTGCATGTTCACAAAAAATAGAAAGAAAAACCAAAATAGGTATGCCTTAAATGGCACATAGGTGAAGGTGTTCTTCAACTCATATGTGGGCCCATGTTTTAAAAAGTAAAAAACTCAAACTGAAATATTCTGATAGCAAAGGAAACCTGTACTGTACTCCAGTTGAGATTTTACACTGTACATTGCTAGTTTATCGTATGGCTTAGAGAGGCTCTCTTCAGGTCTTTAAAAATTTTCACCAGTTTCAAAAGACAGGTTTTGAAGCAAAACCCTCAAACATGGAACAACATCAGAAAATACAGTTACAAAGCACATTTGTTTCATCAATGGTGCAGGCGGAAGACAGAGCTAAACCAATGTAAGATCTTAATGATCCCTCCACTCTGAAGCTGACATGTACCTCAAGACAAGCCAGCTAGAGGAGCTAGGGCAACAAAAGCTGTCAGCACTGGAAAATGCTTTGGTTTGTTCCCTGAAGCAGCTCAGCAAGAAGCAAATGCCATGACAAGGGAGGCTGAAGGACTGGAATGACTGCTCAGCCAAGAGACTGACTTACCTGCACTGCTTTAGTGTATCTGCCACACAAAGCCATTATTTCTCACTTTTCTTAGAGGAATTTCAGGTCCTCATTATAAAAAGCACAGAATTCAATTATGGTTCAACAGCTATTTACAAATTCAGCTTTAAATCCCATCAACTGATCTGAATATAAAACTAGCGACCTTGGGATTTTTTACTGAAACACTTAAAAAAAAGCTCGCCAACTACTCCACAGGGAAACACTAGACAACATATGTAAAGCTGCTGACGCAGGGACCATAAGTTCCCCTTTTTAAGAAAACTGTAAGAAGCAAAACTAGCAGTACGTGAAGGGGCACAACTTTGATACTGCGAGGAATTGAGCCCCACCTGTGTATAGAGAGGAGTTACCGCCTATGGACCCTGGCAGATGAGTGTCCGTCCCACTGGAGGTGACACACAGCCCCCACCCTGACCATCCACTCGCACACAGCAGCAGGACGGAAGGCGATGGAGCTCCTTTGCTGGGCACTTCTCAACAGCTTTACCTGTTTCCTACCCTGCCAGGCTCCAGAATCGCAGCCAGGAGCGCGCAGGATGCTCTGGCACTCACACCGTGATGCCCACAGGCCAAGTGGATGCACAGAACGCTCCTGGTTTGCAGTGTCTGTTCACACTCTACAGGAACAGCCCCGCAGGCTGCGTGGGGCCGAGACCGCTCTGCGCCCCTTGCCGCCACCACCACCAGCCCCAGGCGGGGTTCCGGAGGCCTCCGCCGCCTTGCGAGGGCGGGATGCCGGAGAAGACAACGCAGTCTGCCTGCCGGGTGGGAGCCTGGAGATGCCAAGCTGCACACACCCGATGAGGGCTTGGCCCCAGCCGGAGCTCTCCTCGGGGAGAGGCAGGGCAGGGAGCGTCGCCCCGCCACCGGGAGACGCTGCCGGAGGGCAGAGAGCGCCGCGGGCGCCCGCGGCTCAGGCGGGGATCCCAGCGCAGCTCCCGCGGCCGGAGCGCCGCATCGCGCCCGGGCAGTGGAGAGCGAGGAGATCCGCCGGGGCTCGCATCCTCGGGGGCTCGAACCTACCGGGGCTCACACCCCGGGGCTCGCATCCCCGGCAGCGGCGGGACCCGCCCGAGGCCGCCCGGGCCCTCCTCAGCCCCGGCGCGCACAGGAGGGGACCTGGCGGGGAACCGGCGCCCGCCCCGCCGGCCCGCGGCCGCCCCGGCCCCCCCGTCCCGTCCCCCGGCGTGGCAAGAGAAAGAGCGGAGAGACGGGAACCGGCGGCCGTACCAGCAGGAGGGTGTCCGGCCCGCGTCTCTGCTTTCTCTTTGGGAGGCGAAGACATTTTTACTGTGGCAGCGGCCCCGCTCCCGCACCGCGTACCCGCACCCCGCCACCCGGGCCCGGCGAGCACGGCCCACGCCCGCCCTGTCAACGTGGCCGCCGGGGGGGCGGTGCCGCCGGGCCCTGCCCCGGCCGGGCGGGGACGCGGCGCCCGCGGCAGGCGGCGTCTGCCGGGCCGTGAGGGCAGCGCAGGCGGCTCCTGCGGCCTGATCCGCCCTGGTGGTTTTGTCTGGGGAGGGAGAGCGGCGCGGGCAGTTAACAGCGAGGTTTTGAATCGTCTGCACTTCAGATAATACTCGTAATTAGTGACTAATTGGCGGTGTGCGCCTTGCGTTTGTTGTGTTCTGCCCAGCCGCGTGTGTGTGAGCGGCGTAAAGAGCTGGGCAGTTTTTGGCTGAGGTAGTTTTACTTCGCGATAGTGGTATGGGCCGTGGTTAGGAATTGTGCTGGAGACCCTGTTTGCTTCAGACCTCATTGCCGTGCTGTTTGAAATTACAGACCTGATTCACACAGTTTTAAGAACATTTCCAAACACTTGAGTTACCTTTTCAGAGTTATGTGGAAAGGCACCGCATGTAATATCTGAATTAATTATATTAGCAGCAAGGTGTAAACCATGCCGGCCATTCTAGTTTTCTTTTATAGTTTGAAATAAGAAAGCAAGTACCCCAAAAGATGAGCGTATGATGTTTGAAAGTTGACCCTGCCTCCGAAGTGATATAGAAATATTTCATCACACCTTTGTTATAGGGAAATTAATGTAATAATATTTTATTTATTTGCTATCACTCCATGTGACAGTTATCATTGCAAAAATATATGTGATGTGTAAATACACACTTTGGGGTTCTTTGCAACAGTCCAAAATATATTCATGTCATGGGATCCTTAACAGCCTGAATGAATAAATGTTGTAAAAATACTGTAACTAAGTTCTTACATTTTGCTGCTGGGTTATAGCAATGTCTTACACATGCAGCATGTTAAAGTCTTAGATTGTATTTTCAGCTCTGTCACCTTCCGTGTAGTCTTACACAAATTACTCCAATTCCCTTCCTGGTCTCTGTCAAAGTCTATCCAGATTACATTTTTTTTCTAGAGTAGTAGTATGAGATTTTAATGCTTTTTTGTCTATCATCCTCTGAATTCGAATTAATTTTCACTTTTTTTGGTTTACCCAGGTTTGTTTGCTTTGGATTTTCCTGTGCTGATTACCGAAGTTGATAGAAATTTTTGCCGTTGCAGGTTTAATCTAAACCAGCTGTTATAGAAATTAAATTAAAGAAAAATGTGCTATATTACATTAAAACACCTGCAAGTTAATGATTTTTCTCTAAGAAACTGTTTAATTTAATAATTTCCTATTTAAGCACAAAGTTTTAGTACATGAAGGTGCACTGGGAGGAAGTATTACACCAAAGATGTGCTTTGGCTGTTCTTGCTACAGCCAGCAACATTTCTTTGTGTTATGAGAATTCACGTTGCCATTAACACAAGTATTTGTATGAAGGCTTGCTGTGGCTTCGCAGCTAAAATACAACACCCACCCTGAGTATTTCTCAGAGACACAGGGATGAAATTTCCTGAAAGCGCAGCTGTGCATCATGTTTGGAAGCTGGGATCTCAAGGCAAACCATACTAGTGCAGAAGGAGCAAGAACTGGAAGAGATGAAGACAGATTGGAAGAGAATGAAACGAGGAACAGGAGGACTTGGCATTAGCGGACCAGGAGACAAGGTCAAAAAGTTGAGTAGGGGGTGGTGGAGAGGTAACATGAGAATTGTGAAGCAGGGCAAACACCATGGCAGAAGGAAAGAAATGTTTTTCCTCAATGAAGTAGGAGCCAGAACTGGTTGAGTGAGATGAGGATGAGGACCCCAGGGAGAAGGGAGAGTGGACTGAAGCAGAGCATCAGGCTTGTGGAAGGGAGAAGGGAGGATCTTTCTTGCTTTCCATGGTCTGGAGGTCGTCAGATTGATCTCTCTATTGTTGTCAGTGCACATAATTACTGCTTTCCTCAAGAGGCAGGGGTCTGTGCCAATGGTAAGTTTCTACGCTTGCAGAAGAATTATAGAGGTGTCAGTATGATACCATAGGATAGAATTTAATTTTTAGATATTGTTTTTTAATTGTTGCAACAAAAGCAAAAGGAAGACAAAAATCCAAAATTACAATACATACATAAGTAAATAAATTAACATTTGTAGAGTCAAGCACCTTAATGAGGAGATGCCATAAAGTTTGTAAGTGGTACTTCAGTTTTGTGAAACAGTGTGATGGTTTCTTTGGCAAATAAATGTAAGGCAACATGCATTCTTCTAGCTAGTGGCAGTGCCATGATAATTAGTAGCAATCACAGCTCAGAGAGTCTAAGGATGGAAAAGACCCTTATGATCATCAAGTCCATCCGTCAGCTTAGCACTGCCCATGGAAGTGTTCAAAAATGTGTGGATACGGTACTTGAGGACATGGTTTTATAGTTTGCCCTGGGCAATCTGTGCCAATCTTTTACAACCCCTTCCATGAAGACATTTTTCCTAATATCCAGTGTAAACACCACCCCCACTCCCAGTAAAACTTGAGGCTATTTCCTCTAATCCAGTTACTTGTTACCTGGGAGAAGAGACTGGCACCACCTGGCTACAGCCTCCTTTCACAGGGACTTGTAGAGAGCAGTAAGGTCTGCCTCCTTTTCCCCAGGCCAAACAATGCCCTGCTCAATTATGCCAATGTACAAGAAACAGGGAGGCATTTTTAGTGACTGGCAGTAAAATGCCGGGATTTTTCAGTCACTTAGTCATTTCCAGCAGGCCGAATTGTTTGTACCAGCACACACAAATGGCAACAGTGGGAAACTTCATCAGAAAACAGGCAGAGTTTTTACAAAAAGTTGGCTGTGGAGTCACTTCCTTTGCCAATTCAGCCACACCTGGTGCTGACACACTTTCCCCAGAGACTGTAGCAAAGTCAAGTCCCTACTGGAAAACAAGTGAATGACAGCATCACAGGGCACTGAAATGTTGCAGCACACTGAGGGAAGAGTAAATAAAACATGTTGTTTAGGGTATTTCATGTTGTAACGTGTTTTGAAGACTGCTGGATGTTTTAGAATAGAAGTATTTTTGTGGAGGGTTCTGCCACATACCTCCTCAGTGCATGGGTAAGAGCTGGTAATAGACATCTTAAGTCTCCGTGACATTATCCAGCACAATCAAGAAAGAGAACTCTCCAGCTACTACAAATTTTAGCTAAAATAGCAAGCAGACAGAAGCTATGTCTTTTGTGGTGATGGTGCAGGGAAAAATAAAGCCAGCCAAAAATAGGAAAAAGCGCTTTACAAATCCCAAAGGCTAAGTTAAAAAAACAACCTGAAGATAATTGTTAGGAAAGTAGGCAAAAGCATGCATATAACAGCTATTTTCAGTGGCAGTTGGACATTCACAGCACTTTTGACAGTAATACCAGGTTCTTATTTTTTGTCCTTTATAGCCCAAAGTATGTTCAGTAAGTAGTCTTTTTTTGAAAATAAACAGTCTGTTGAACTATGATTAAGACACCATTTTTTGTCAGTTTTGAAAGTGCTCCCCAGTACTAAACAGATGGCTGTAGTTTTTGGTGCTTTCACTTGGGGCCTGCAGCAGAATTTTGAGTTCTTTCTGAAAACACTGCCACGCATAGAAAAGCAATTTTTGGGTTCAAGTCAATGGTAAATTATAATAGTGCAACCTAGGGTCACTCAGCATTTAAAAGGCAGCTAACTGCTTTGCCACACGACTTCTGCTCTCATTTCCAGCACCCATATGCGCATACATGCTGTAAATCCTGGGAAGTACAATAATCTGCTCTGTTTAGCTACAGGGTAGGCAAAACTCTTTCAGTGAACAGTGTTTTGTCCAATTTATAGACAGGCATCAAGTCAATGAAAACTACCAGCTGATTTTGATAATGAATCTAAAATAGTTTTGCCTCAAAGCAGGTAGTTGTTTTGAAATTTTGATTGTTTTATTTCAACAATGTGTTTTAAAATTTTGTTATTTTTAAACCTGAAATCCATGGGGAAATAAAATAATTTTCTCTTTTTGTCTTCTTTTCTTTTTTTTTCCCCTGCCAGTTAATAAAAATATCAGTTATCTGTATAGTTCTAACTCTTTGTGACATTTTTAGGGTGCCTTAATTTCTGAGAAATGATAAAACAAACCAAAGGGTTTACTTAGGAATTTGATCCTTCACTTTGACTTTTTGAGTTTGCAGATCTTTATTTGTATATGTTGCCGCCCACTACTTAAAAGAATGGGTTTAGTCTGATGCAGCCAGTTGGGAAAATTCCTTGCTTTGTTACTTACGTGGAAATATGTAAAGCTTTTAGCAAAAGTCAAATAATGTAATTTTAGTTCTGTCTCACTTTTATGCCAGACTGAGAAAAGGGTGTGGGGTTTAGCATTGTGCTTTGTTAGGAAATTTTCAGAGATTGTGCAAGATGCCACCCAAAAAGGTGGTTTTATTTTAATGTGCAGACTTGGAAAAATAGTTTGTGTAAGTTAACAAGCAAATAAATTTGGGGCAAGGAGTAATTTGCTTTAGTAATGATTTTCTACCCTTCCCTTACCAATTGTCATTGCACTGACTCATTAAAGTTACTTGGGTTGCAGTGTTTGCTGGTTTCTCTGTATCTTGATGATCTGATTAATTCCATTTTGTTACTCTAACTGTACACTTATTCTGACAAGGGACTCAAATTTATTTGCTTTCTTGATTTACTAATTCAGTTTTCCAGGAAAATCTATATAATTATTTTTTTTTCTTTAGAGTTTGAATAAGTTTCCATTGGGTCAAACATAAATTTGTTGATTGTTAATAGTTTCTGAATTGAATTACAATGTAATTGTGAGACTCAATTGCTCTTTTTCTTAGTGTTGTACTAGATTTCCTTGGACATATTTCTGATAAAAAAGTATGCTACAGGTCTTTCTCATGAGAAAGGTAGAATGATGATGTTTTCAGAAAGAAATGTTCCAATGTTACATTGCCACTCTTATATTATATTGTCATGAAGTTCAGACTTCTAAGCTGTTATCAAATATTAAATCAGCATGAAAAGCAATTT